AAAAAAAAAAAAACAAAACCATCATGGTACTGAAAAAGGCTTGTAGAGAAAATACCAGTACTTTAGCCAGCTCTTGCCACCCCATCCCCCTCCCCACAGGCAATGACTTTCAGCCCTTTAAGTTGTTTCCTCTGGAGTTTACCTTCATATTTCTAAGGAAAAGAACTGTATGCTATTCCCTGGCATTACCTACTGACTTCCACCCTGGAGTATCAGATTTAACTCAACTCTGCAAACCCCATGCCCAGTCCTCTTTCATGATTCTGCTTGACCTTTCCCTATTCTGCTAGAGTAGGTGCATCACAATTCTTGGTTAAATTGATTTCACTGTTCGCATTATTGTTGGGATATCTAGTTTTCACTGGTGAACCAAGTAAGGTACTATGGCCGTCTCCTTTCCTTACATACCTCCCGTGCAATCACTGATGTTCGCAAAACCTCTTTTTTCATCTGCCTGGCTTTCTATATACTGTAATTTCCCTGCCTCCCGTGGTTTCTCAATGCATGCAATTTTCCTGGGAGAAAGACCCTCAGCATGGGGCTGTACCTGGGCTGACATGCTCCAGGGTCTCTGTGCTGGGGGCTCCCTTCACCATCCTTCTGGGCTCCTTTGCCTCTTCCTGGTTGGCCCCCCCATCTTCTGCATCCCACTTGTTCTCCCTTCTCCGTCATTTTCTCATTTGGTGGAGCACATTTTTAATGAGCTTCCTGAGAAAAGGGTACATGGAAAGTAAGTTTTCTGAAATCTTGCTTGTTTGACATGTCTTTCCTCTCTTGATTGATAGCTTGGGTATAGAATTTTAGTTTGGGAACTGTTTTCTCTCAGACTTGACAACACCACTCCTGTAACTTTCTTTTTAGTATTGCTGTGGAGAAGTTCAGTGCCATTCTCATCCTTGATCCTTTGTATACGACCTTTATTTTCTCTCTAGAAACTTTGAGGATCATCTCTTTGGCACCACTGTTCTGAAGTTTTGCCGTAAGATGTAGTTTTTTAATTTATTT